TGCCTTGCACTGCACAGGGATCTGTATGGTGCAAACTCATTAAATTAATCCACTTCCCCCTTGATGTGGGGAACAAGCTGAGATTTTCCCAAACACTTCAATCAAAAACACACTGGTTAAGATAAAACAAGTTTATTAACTACAGAAAGATAGATTTTAAGTGATTATAAGTGATAGCAAACAGATCAAAGCAGATTACCTAGGAAATAAAACCACAAACTAAGCCTAATATACTAGACAGATAGGATTTGAATTAGCAATATCTCACCCTGACTGATGATGCAAGCAGGCTTGCGAATTCTTGAGGCATAGGCAGCCTTTGCAGTGCAGCCTGGGTTCCCCTCGCCCATTCCAAGTCCTTTGTCTTTTAGAGGTTCTTCCAGGTGCTGAGTTGCAGGGGAGTGAAGACAAATCATGATGTCACTTCCCCACCTTATATAGTCACTGTCTATGGCAGGAACCCTTTGTCCAAGCTAAGTTCCCAGCCCAGTCTCTGGAAAAATACAGGTACCAAAATGGAGTTCAGTGTCATGTGGTCTGGTCACATGCCCTTGCATGCCTTGCTGAGTCATAGCACCCATTATTCATAGGCTGGCTGAAGGGTACCCAGGCGAGCACAAACCTTTTCCATGGTCCATTGTCTTTGCTGATGGGCTATTAGCACTGTCTAGCTCAGGGGTGGGCAAACTTTTTGGCCTGAGGGCCACATCTGGGTGGGGAAATTGCATGCAGGGCCATGAATGTAGGGCTGGGGCAGGGGGTTGGGGTGCAGGAGGGAGTGTGGGTGCAGGAAGGGGCTTAGGGCAAAGGGTTGGGGCAGAGGAGGGGTGTGAGGTTTACGAGGGGGTTCAGGGAAGGGAGTGCAGGAGGTGGCTCAGGGCAGTGGTGCAGGGAGGGATGCAGAGTGTGGGAGGGGGCTCAGGGCAGGAGGTTGAGGCGCAGGAGGGGTGCGGAGTGTGTGGGGGCTCAGGGAAGGGGTTGTAGGGTGCAGCAAGAGGCTCAGGGCAAGAGGTTGGGGTGCAGGAGGGGTGTGGGGTGCACCAGGGGGGTGGGGTTCAGGCAGGGGGCTCAGGGCAGGGGGTTGGGGTGTGGGGTGCACTAGGGGGTTGGTGTGCAGGCAGGGTGTGGCAGGGGGCTCAGGGCAGGGAGTTGGGGTATGGGGTGCGGGCTGTGGCCTGGCGCCACTTACCTGGAGTGGCTCCGGGGTGGCAGCGGTGCGCACCAGGGTAAGGCAGGCTCCCTGCCTGCCCTGGTCCCAGCCCCGCACTGCTCTGGGAATTGGCTGGCACCACATCCCTGTGGCCTCTGGGGGAGAGGGCTCCGCGCGCTGCCTTTGCCTGTGGGTACCTCCCTCGAAGCATCCATTGGCCGTGGTGCCATGGGGGTGGCAATCCCACGGGGCAGATCCAAAGCCCTGAGGGGTTGGATCCGGCCCATGGGCCATAGTTTTCCTACCCCTGGTCTAGCTTCTTCATTGTTGTACCTGAAAGGCTTGTTGTGGGTGTTTCCAACTTCACAACATCTTTCAGTAACATACACTGTGACGTTGCACTCCATATGCTTTATGAAAATATGCTTATGAATGTGAATATGACATAACTGGAATATGCTTTATGCTAAATACCCATTGTAAGGTATCATTAGAAAGCTTGTAATCTACTGTGTGTGTTCATTCTATTTGTTTGCATGTATTATTTCTATGTCTGAATTAAGAAACATAAGATATAAACTTGTATTACTGATGTAAACATATTAAGTGGAAGCCATTAAGGATGCTTCAGAATCAATGAACTGTGAATGGGTTTATTTACCTGCAAGCCTTCCTGTGTACGTGTGGGCCAGCCTGTGGGTAATGAAGAATAAGGTCTCACCATGTCACCTGGTACTGAAATCCATCTTAAATCTTGTACTTTTCCATTTAGAAGGAGGGGTGGGGGCCAAGCGCATACAAAAGATCCTCGCCTTGTGCCAAAGCTATGAAAGGGGGTGGAGCAGGACAAAGAGGCTGTCAGTCATAAGAAAACCCCTACTCACCACCTGAGATGCCTGCTGGAACTAACAAGGACAGTACCGGGGAAAGGATTGGGCCCAGACTAGGAAGGAGTCTGGTCTGTGAAAGAAGCTTATTGGAACATCTATGATGGTGAAATATTACCTGTAATCAGTTTCTGAATGTATAAGGCTTAGACTTGTGTGTGTTTGCTTTATTTTGCTTGGTGACTTACTTTGTTCTGTCTGTTATTACTTGAAACCACTTAAATCCTACTTTTTATATTTAATAAAATCACTTTTGTTTGTTAATGAACCCAGAGTAAGTGATTAATACCTGGGGGAGCAAATAGCTGTGCATATCTCTATCAGTCTTAAAGAGGGCGGACAATTTATGAGTTTACCCTGTATGAGCTTTATACAGAGTAAAACTGATTTATTTGGGGTTTGGATCCCATTGGGAACTGGGTGTTTGGGTGCTGGAGAGGTAACCTGCTGAGCTGTTTTTGGTTAAAGTCTGCAGCTTTGGAGGCGTGGACCAGACCTGGGTCTGTGTTGCAGCAGGCTAGCATGTCTGGCTCAACAAGGCAGGGTTCTGGAGTCCCAAGCTGGCACAGAAAATGGGCCTAGAAGTAATTTCAGCACATCAAGTGACCGTCCCAAGGGGATCTCCTGTAACTGAACCCATCACACACACATAGCAAAACTTCACATACAATAATAACACATACAAGTCAATGAGAAATTAATGTTTAGAGGATCAAAACTTTTAGAATGATACCCCACAAGACATACTTTGTACAAAACATATCCTAATTACATGACAGTGCTGAATATGGGGGCACCAGGCTATTGCTTTGGGGCACAGAGTCTCACAATAGAAACTTCTTGGGTTCTGCTTGTTCCACCTATTGTAGAAAAATCATGCCATTGTTTAATGACCTCGAAAGAAAACCCCTAGACAAGGCAGATATTGTGATATCTCTGCAAAATTCTACCCCAAGGCCAGGGGAACAGCTTTTTTCCCCCTTATACAAGTCATCATGTTAAATGTGTGGGCTCATAAGTTTTCATGACAAGTTTTCAAGGCTATAGTAACTCCATTTTTAAAAAAATCATGCTTATTGATTTGAAAGTCAGGACTATACAGAAGGATCCCAAAGCATTAGTGCAAATTCTCATTGTGAAACTGGCAAGGTTTTTAGATGCAAACTGGGGAGGCTGCTTGCCCTCAGGGTACAGTAATCAAGCTATGGTTTATGGTCCTGTAATGATGCCAATAAATCCGGTACCATTAATACGACTCTGGGAAGCTCTTTGAATAAGAGCAGAGATGAGTGGGTATTACTGTGCTAATAATGGGGTCTCGTACTGAAGGAGTCCCCTGAAAGTCGGAGGCGGTCAGCCAAATGGTGCCCCACCTTCAGAGGTGTCCTACAGCGGGGAGGGTGTAGGAAGCTTTCCTGCCCTTTGGTTCTGTCTAAAGGGGAGAGGGAGTGGAGGGGCCATGCCTGGGTGGGATGTGGGTGCAGATAGGATCCTTTGTCCATGGGTAGTGCTGGCCAGACCTGTTGGTCAAGTGTAGCAATAGGCACATCCCAGCACACTGCCCTCACTGATCAGACAGTGTTATGCCTTGCTAAGCTATAATGCCTGCTGACCATCTCCACTGGGCTGTTAGACCACCTACTCCCCTCCACAGCATGGCTTAGCCTCACAAAGGGATAGCTGAGCCCTGTGAATATATAGGGATTCCTCAGTATTGCTGAAATGCCATCTGTGATGAAGTTGGGGATTTTTGTAGTGTTTTACATGAATATCATGTGTGTGCCGCAGCTTCCCTGTGTGCTGCATGTTTTAACAAGATGGTGGGAGAAGGTTTGTTGTTGTAGAGGACCAGATGTTACCTCGCCTAGCAACTGGGACCCCCGGACAGTGGCCTGGCTATGGAGAACCCTAACAACCGGTGACCTGGTGACAAAGAGGCCCACCCTAGCTTGGCAGTCAGCTAGTTCTGGCCAGTGGGAGGACAAAGGGATGAGGAGAGAGGACCCTGGTGACCTGACCAACCAGTTGGAGCCAGAGGGGAACAAAGGATGGAAGAGAGGGCCCCAGCGACCTGTTTACTTGGGATGGAAGACAAAGGACAGGGGAGGAGCTGTTGGGGCCCCTGATATTGGATGCCCAGCTGGAAAGTGCAGGGTTTCGGGACTGGAGGGAGAGAGAGCAGGCAGAGCCTACCTGAATGCAGGGGAGACTTAGATGTACTGTGGTGTGGGAGGCCAGGTCTGAGGGCCCTGAGAGTTTCCTATGCTGGGTTCAGATGCTCAATAAACTCTCCTGTTTTAAGTTGGCTGAGAGTCACTCTGATCTAGAGATCAGGGTTCCATTATTCCCTCTGGGAGTGGAGGCCCCAGGGGTCCAGAGCAAGTGGACTCCCTGAGGGGGCCCACAGTGAGAGACAGGCGTGCTAAGGCTCGGAGTGGTGTGGTTCCAGGAGGCGGAGGGGCTTCACCCCTGAGAGAGAGTGGACCCCCAGGAGGGGCTGTCACACTGAAGGGGGTTCCCCCCAGGGACCGTATGGGGCCAAGAATGGGCACGACCTGTGAGTCCGTGATACAGCCATCTCTGGGGTGGAACAGGGCAGCAACACCATACAGCAAATTTTAAGGGCAAAAAATGTTGGACAGCTCTTAGAATGGTTTTGGCCAGGAATCACAAGCAAGGTATTGTAAACTCTTCACTGGTCCAACTGAAAACTCTCTGTCTTGTTAAACACACACATTTAATAAAATAAAAAAATGTTGTTTACCTTTAGAATGAAGATGCATTTCCAAATGAATGCCTGCTTGGACACATTCAAGCACGCTCAAGTGTTAGGCAGTATTAAAGAGTTAATAGACTGAGGATTTGCTGTGCTGTAGCCTTCTGCATGTGCCATAAATATTTGCTTTGACCTTACAGTGCTATTGAGAGCTGTGCCAGATTAGCAAGTGAAACTGGCAGCCACCATTGGATTTGACAAATACAACAAAGAATGTTAGGCTAGGCTGTATTGATTCACCACCTCCTGAGGGCACTGCTGACCCAAAAGAGGGAGGCAATGGTGTGGATAGAATTAGCACTCTGTCCGCCTGAGCCATGCATGAAACCATCAACAAGGAAGGAAGAAAAGAAGAGAGACGAAACGGACATGAACCGCAAAAGTCACTCAGTGCAGTTGTGGCAAGTTGTCGCCCAAAGCCTCTCAGAGCCCAGCCGTGGGGGCTGCTCGCTTGGAAGAGAGACAGATGAGACAGAGAAGGATCTGTCCTCAGGTATGTGAGGGGAGGGAGGGAACCAGATGTAAAGGACTGTCTTGCCAGTAACTCAGGTCCTGCTTTGACAGAGCTGTTTTTGTTCTCCAAAGACCTGGGGAAATGTGTGTAGTACATACTGCAGGGGCATAGGTGCGGGGGGTGATGTGGGAGGGTGCTGCCAAACCCCCTGGCTTGAAGTGGTTTCTTTGCTTTCGCACTGTGTGGTGTAAACAGCCTAATCCCTTTTCCAAAGTGTGTCGCTGCACCAGGGGATGTGTCATGAAGCCATCACAGGACTGGGGGTCTCATATCTTTATTCCCTCCCCCTTAGCTCTGCTCTGCCTTTGAACCATCACTTCGGCAAGGAGGAAGCAATTTCCCCAGCACATGCCCAGATCACTGCAGACTCGCATCCCTGTCACAGGACTGGTTCTGCTGAGTTTGCAGCAATGGTGATTAGAGCTTCAGGCCCCAGCATGCTAAATCATGGGGAATGTGGTTGCCCAAGGCTCCTCTCTGCTGCAGGGATCCAGCTCAGCAGCCAGAGCCCCAACTGCATACAACAGTATCTTCCCCGCTGCACTCCACTCTCCACCCCCTATTTCTAGCTTTGGCAGGTCCTGAGAGAGAAACCTTTGGTTTGTAACATTGTTATGTATGGGAAAGCCTTAGCTCTGCCCAACCCTGAGCTGCTTGGGAATTCCTCTCTGCTATAACTATTTGCAGGCCACCTGGAGAAGTTTGTTGAGGATTGTCATGCTACCTCACACCTGACTCAGCAGCAGCCCAGACTCCACACTGCCCGTCTCTTCCTTAGGATACACTTTCTGTCCTATGGGCAGCTCTAGGCAGACAGGAGCAGGCTCCACGTAGCAAATCACAAAGGTGAGGGCTGGAATGTGTCTGGCCTCACATCAGCCATCCCTGGGCCCGTGCGGCTTGAAGGCTAGCCTGCCTCTGGGTGACACACAGCAGCAAGGGTGCTTGCTGCAGACCTGTGTGTGTGACTCATGGCAAGCCAGTCGGTGAGTCACTCACCACCAGTGGTTGCTTCCTCACCATGGCTTGCTGGTTTGTGAGCCCTGTGCCTGCAGGGGGTAGGTGGCAACCACAGACACAGAGGCACGTGACATGGGCATGCCTTCCCCAGCCGTCTTGCTCTTTTCTGGCTGTGTTTCACTAGTCCTGGTTTCCAGTCCTCTCAGCTATTTGCATTTGGCACGAGTAACCAAGTGAGTGTTGTGCTCTTCTCTCTCCATTCCTCCCTGCAGGTGACTGGCTCCAGGACGCACATGTAGGACACAGGGACAGATGGACGTGGCTGTGCCAATAGCAGTGCAGGACCATGCGTGTTGTACTGAGTGTGCTTCTGCTCCTCTTTCGTCAGATCCTCCTACTGGGTAAGCTCCCTTGTGACACTGTGACCTGGCAAGAAGAGGGTGGCTATGGGGCACTAAAGGATTCACAATCCTTGGCAAAAATGTTTATATAGCCTTGGGACAACTGTGCAGTGCTGGCCCCATAGGATCTCCCTCTGTCGAATACCTGGAAAACCTAAAAGTAAAAGCCCAGTGAACAGTGCAGTGGCTTTGCTACTGAAGAGTCCAAGTAAAGGCCAACCTTTGCTATAAGCAAAACAAAAGATTTCTGACAGCCTGCCTTGTTAATATCCTAACAGGACAAGTCATTCAAAACTCTGCATAGCTTAGAGCCTTGTTACTGATAAGCTATTGAGAATTTATTAGGAAAAAAATGCTTCGGTGAAAGCATGTGGCTGATGAGATAAAGAACCCAAACATCACGGTCCATGGGCCGTTTGAAACTATATTTAAACACCTGTGTGGGAAGCAGAAAGGAGAAACTGAATAACAATAGAGTCCTCTGTGTACATATGGATTATATACGTTATAGGGTGTGCCTACATGCATGATGTGTACACAGTGAAATCTTTTCCCACCTCCATAAAGAGATGACAGAATTTTTTTTTGTCAAACTGGGTTTTTTTTCTTGTGCAAAATAACTTTTTGACCAACACACATTTCCTTTGGATTGAAATTTTTGATTGGTTGAAATTTTGCAGGTTTTTTGGCCACAAAACTAAAAAAATCATTTTTTTCATTTTGGGGGTTTTACTTTCCTTTCTCTCCTATTTTTCCACCTTTTTCCAGTGGAAAAAAAGATAAAGATAAAGGAGGTTTTTTTAAAAAAGAGAAAAAAAGAAAATCTACAATTTTTGTTGGTTTTCAGGTTTTAATTTTGCTGGGAAAAATTAAAAGTTCTGCAAAAAAATTCAAACGAAATGCATGTTTTATACTTTGATCTATATTTTTAACACAAAACTTATAGCATTTTTCAAACAGCTCTAATTCGAGGCAGACTGTGCACTAGGTTCCCCCACCCACACACTTCTAGTTCATTGTGCAGGCCAGCAAAGCAAGGCCAGGAAGCAGGGTCACTGCTCTAGACTGAGATGTTGTTTACACTGGCACTTTGTTGGCAAAACTTTTGTCGTTCAGGGGTGTTAAAACCTTCCCTCCACTCTGAACAACAAAATTTTACTGACGAAAAGCGCCTCTGTGAACAGCGCTTTGTGGCAGGAGCGCTCTCCTACTGACAAAGCCGCTGCCACTTGTGGGGGGTGGAAGTTTTTTGTCTGCAAGACAGCTCTCTCCTGCCAACAAACAGCAGCTACACTGTGCACCTTTTAGCGGCACGGCTGTAGCGGCACAGCCATGTTGCTAAAAGTTGCATAGTGTAGCCATTGCCTAAGACTGGTCTGAACACTGCAGGTTTGTCTAATCCCTCTGAGTGCCCTTGGGCACAATAGAATATTAGGTTGCTTGAACTTCAGCTTGAACCAAAATTAGGTCGAATTTATAGAAGTCAATTTTTAGAAAGCGATTTTATACAGTCGATTGTGTGTGTCCTCACTAAGCTCATTAAGTTAGTGGAGTGCGTCCACAGTACCGAGGCTAGCGTCAACTTTTGGAGGATTGCACTGTGGGTAGCTATCCCACAGTTCCTGCAGTCTCCGCCGCCCACTGGAATTCTGGGTTAAGCTCCCAATGTCTGATGGGGCAAAAACATTGTTGTGGGTGGTTTTGGGTACATTTGGTCAGTCGCCCCTCCCTCAGTGAAAGCAACGGCAGACAATCGTTTTGCACTTTTTTCCATGCGGGCACCATACTGCTCTCAGCAGACGGTGCAGTAGGACTGCTAACCATCATCATTGAACGACCGCTTCCGCTGCCACTCTCCTCTCCTGCTCTCTTGGTGGTCTCGCAGGGCTGCTTCCGCTGCAACTCTGCTCGGCTGCTCTTGTCTCGCTATAATACAGCAAACATGCAGCCCGCTCAGCTGTTGTGTCCTGGCAGCAGACAGTGCAGTAGGTCTGCAAACCACCATCATTGAACGACCACTTCCGCTGCCACTCTGCTCTCCTGCTCTGCTGCAGACGCCATACCATGGCAAGCATGGAGCCCGCTCAGATCACTGTGGCAGTTATGAGCATTGTAAGTACCTCGTGCATTATCATGCAGTATATGCAGTACCAGAACCTGCAAAAGCAGGCGAGGAGCCGATGGCAGTGTGGTGAGGAGAGTGATGAGGACATGGACACAGACTTCTCTCAAAGCACGGGCCCCGGCAATTTGGCCATCCTGGTGGCAATGGGACAGGCTCATGCCATGGAACACCGATTATGGGCCTGGCAAACAAGCACAGACTGGTGGGACCACATAGTGTTTCAGGTCTGGGATGATTCCCAGTGGCTGCAAAACTTTCACATACATAAGGGCACTTTTATGAAACCTTTTGACTTGCTTTCCCCTGCCCTGAAGTGCAAGAATACCAAGATGAGAGCAGCCCTCACAGTTCACAAGCGAGTGGCGATAGCCCTCTGGAAGCTTGCAACGCCAGACAGCTACTGGTCAGTCGGGAATCAAAGTGGAGTGGGCAAATCTACTGTGGGGGTTGCTGTGATGCAAGTAGCCAACACAATCACTGAGCTGCTGCTATAAAGGGCAGTGAGTCTGGGAAATGTGCAGGTCATAGTGGATGGCTTTGCTGCAATAGGATTCCCTAACTGTGGTGGGGTGCTAGATGGAACCCATATCCCTATCTTGGGACCGGAGCACCAAGGCAGCCAGAACATAAACCAAAAGGGGTACTTTTCAATGGTGCTGCAAGCACTGGTGGATCACAAGGGACGGTTCACCAACATCAATGTGGGATGGCCGGGAAAGGTACATGATGCTCGCATCTTCAGGAACTCTGGTCTGTATGAACAGCTGCAGCAAGGGACTTACTTTCCAGACCAGAAAATGACCATTGGGGATGTTGAAATGCCTATAGTTATCCTTGGGGACCCAGCCTACCCCTTAGTGCCATGGCTCATGAAGCCATACACAGGCAGCCTGGACAGTAGTCAGGAGCTGTTCAACTATAGACTGAGCAAGTGCAGAATGGTGGTAGAATGTGCATTTGGACGTTTAAAAGCGTGCTGGCGCAGTTTACTGACTTGGTTAGACCTCAGCGAAACCAATATTCCCATTGTTATTACTGCTTGCTGTGTGCTCCACAATATCTGTGAGAGTAAGGGGGAGACGTTTATGGTGGGGTGGGAAGTTGAGGCAAATCGCCTGGCTGCTGATTACGTGCAGCCAGACACCAGGGCGGTTAGAAGAGCACAGCAGGGTGTGCTGCACATCAGAGAAGCTTTGAAAACCAATTTCATGACTGGCCAGGCTACGGTGTGACAGTTCTGTTTGTTTCTCCTTGATGAAAACCCGCTCCCTTGGTTCATTCTACTTTCCTGTAAGCCAACCGCTCTCCCCTCCCCACTTTGATCACCGCTTGCAGAGGCAATAAAGTCATTGTTGTTTTAAATTCATGCATTTTTTATTAATTCGTCACACAAAGAGGGGGATAACTGCCAAGGTAGCCCAGGAGGGATGGGGGAGGAGGGAAGCACCGGGTGGGGTGGGGCAGGGGAGGAGGGAAGGACAAGGCCACACTGCACTTCAAAACTTATTGAATGTCAGCCTTCTGTTGCTTGGGCAGTCCTCTGGGGTGGAGTGGTTGGATGCCTGGAGGGCCCTCCCCCGCCCCGTGTTCTTGGGTGTCTGGGTGAGGAGGCTATGGAACTTGGGGAAGAGGATGGTTGATTACACAGGGGCTGCAGTGGCGGTCTGTGCCTTTCCCGCACCTCAACCATAAGCCAGAGCACATCAGTTTGATCCTCCAGTAGCCTCAGCATTGCATCCTGCCTCCTCTCATCACGCTGCCGCCACCTCTCCTGTTGCTCCAGCCATCTATCCTCTCGCGCGTCCCTCCTGTCCTCACGTTCATTTTGTGCTTTCCTGGACTCTGACATTGTCTGCCTCGACGCATTCTGCTGGGCTCTTTCAGTGCAGGAGGACTGCATGAGCTCAGAAAACATTTCATCGTGAGTGCATTTTTTCCGCCTTCTTATCTACGCTAGCCTCTGGGACGGAGATGCTAGTGGCAGCATTGAAACATTTGCAGCTGTGGGAGGAAAAAAAGGGAGATTAAAATTGAAAAAGACACATTGGCCTTTTAAAAGGAGGGGCTGATGTTTTCGGTTTAACATGCAGTACAAACCCAACTAACCCCCCACCACACCCAATTCTCTGGGATGATCGCTTCACCCGTCCTCCCACCATGTGGCTAATAGCGGGGATGATTTCTTTTCAGCCACAGGCAAACAGCCCAGCAGGAACGGCCACCTCTGAATGTCCTCTGAATAGAATTCCCCTATTTCAACCAGGTGACCATGAATGATATCACTCTCCTGAGGATAACACAGAGAAATAAAGAATGGATGTTACTTAAATGCCAGCAAACACTGGGACCACACGCTGCCATGCTTTCTTATGCAATGATTCCAGACTACGTGGGAAAGCGGGATACCCGGAGGAAGCACAGGCAGGAATGTCTGTGAGGGGAGGGCTCCTGCCTCATACTGAGAATGAGGGGCGATCAGCAGGTTATCTCAAGTGCTTATATACGAATGCACAAAGCCTTGGAAACAAGCAGGGAGAACTGGAGGTCCTGGTGATGTCAAGGAATTATGACGTGATTGGAATAACAGAGACTTGGTGGGATAACTCACATGACTGGAGTACTGTCATGGATGGTTATAAACTGTTCAGGAAGGACAGGCAGGGCAGAAAAGGTGGAGGAGTAGCACTGTATGTAAGGGAGCAGTATGACTGCTCAGAGCTCCGGTACGAAACTGCAGAAAAACCTGAGTGTCTCTGGATTAAGTTTAGAAGTGTGAGCAACAAGAGTGATGTAGTGGTGGGAGTCTGCTATAGACCACCGGACCAAGGGGGTGAGGTGGACGAGGCTTTCTTCCGGCAGCTCGCAGAAGCTACTAGATCGCATGCCCTGGTTCTCATGGGTGACTTTAATTTTCCTGATATCTGCTGGGAGAGCAATACAGCGGTGCATAGACAATCCAGGAAGTTTTTGGAAAGTGTAGGGGACAATTTCCTGGCGCAAGTGCTAGAGGAGCCAACTAGGGGGGAGCTTTCCTTGACCTGCTGCTCACAAACTGGGAAGAATTAGTGGGGGAAGCAAAAGTGGATGGGAATCTGGGAGGCAGTGACCATGAGTTGGTTGAGTTCAGGATCCTGACACAGGGAAGAAAGGTAAGCAGCAGGATACGGACCCTGGACTTCAGGAAAGCAGACTTCGACTCCCTCAGGGAACGGATGGGTAGGATCCCCTGGGGGACTAACATGAAGGGGAAAGGAGTCCAGGAGAGCTGGCTGTATTTCAAGGAATCCCTGTTGAGGTTACAGGGACAAACCATCCCGATGTGTAGAAAGAATAGTAAATATGGCAGGTGACCAGCTTGGCTTAACGGTGAAATCCTAGCGGATCTTAAACATAAAAAAGAAGCTTACAAGAAGTGGAAGGTTGGACATATGACCAGGGAAGAGTATAAAAATATTGCTCGGGCATGTAGGAATGAAATCAGGAGGGCCAAATCGCACCTGGAGCTGCAGCTAGTAAGAGATGTCAAGAGTAACAAGAAGGGTTTCTTCAGGTATGTTGGCAACAAGAAGAAAGCCAAGAAAGTGTGGGCCCTTTAATGAATGAGGGAGGCAACCTAGTGACAGAGGATGTGGAAAAAGCTAATGTGCTCAATGCTTTTTTTGTCTCTGTCTTCACGAACAAGGTCAGCTTCCAGACTGCTGCGCTGGGCATCACAACATGGGGAATAGATGGCCAGCCCTCTGTGGAGAAAGAGGTGGTTAGGGACTATTTAGAAAAGTTGGACGTGCACAAGTCCATGGGGCCGGACGAGTTGCATCCGAGAGTGCTAAAGGAATTGGCGGCTGTGGTTGCAGAGCCATTGGCCATTATCTTTGAAAACTCATGGCGAACGGGGGAAGTCCCGGATGACTGGAAAAAGGCTAATGTAGTGCCAATCTTTAAAAAAGGGAAGAAGGAGGATCCTGGGAACTACAGGCCAGTCAGCCTCACCTCAGTCCCTGGAAAAATCATGGAGCAGGTCCTCAAGGAATCAATCCTGAAGCACTTACATGAGAGGAAAGTGATCAGGAACAGTCAGCAAGGATTCACCAAGGGAAGGTCATGCCTGACTAATCTAATCGCCTTCTGTGATGAGATTACTGGTTCTGTGGATGAAGGGAAAGCAGTGGATGTATTGTTTCTTGACTTTAGCAAAGCTTTTGACACGGTCTCCCACAGTATTCTTGTCAGCAAGTTAAAGAAGTATGGGCTGGATGAATGCACTATAAGGTGGGTAGAAAGTTGGCTAGATTGTCGAGCTCAGTGGGTAGTGATCAATGGCTCCATGTCTAGTTGGCAGCTGGTGTCAAGTGGAGTGCTCCAGGGGTCGGTCCTGGGGCCGGTTTTGTTCAATATCTTCATAAATGATCTGGAGGATGGTGTGGATTGCACTCTCAGCAAATTTGCGGATGATACTAAACTGGGAGGAGTGGTAGATACGCTGGAGGGCAGGGATAGGATACAGAGGGACCTAGACAAATTGGAGGATTGGGCCAAAAGAAATCTGATGAGGTTCAATAAGGATAAGTGCAGGGTCCTGCACTTAGGATGGAAGAACCCAATGCACAGCTACAGACTAGGGACCGAATGGCTAGGCAGCAGTTCTGCGGAAAAGGACCTAGGGGTGACAGTGGACGAGAAGCTGGATATGAGTTAGCAGTGTGCCCTTGTTGCCAAGAAAGCCAATGGCATTTTGGGATGTATAAGTAGGGGCATAGCAAGCAGATCGAGGGACGTGATCATCCCCCTCTATTCGACATTGGTGAGGCCTCATCTGGAGTACTGTGTCCAGTTTTGGGCCCCACACTACAAGAAGGATGTGGATAAATTGGAGAGAGTCCAGCGAAGGGCAACAAAAATGATTAGGGGTCTGGAACACATGACTTATGAGCAGAGGCTGAGGGAACTGGGATTCTTTAGTCTGCAGAAGAGAAGAATGAGGGGGGATTTGATAGCTGCTTTCAACTACCTGAGAGGTGGTTCCAGAGAGGATGGTTCTAGACTATTCTCAGTGGTGGAAGAGGACAGGACAAGGAGTAATGGTCTCAAGTTGCAGTGGGGGAGGTTTAGGTTGGATATTAGGAAAAACTTTTTCACTAGGAGGGTGGTGAAACACTGGAATGCGTTACCTAGGGAGGTGGTAGAATCTCCTTCCTTAGAAGTTTTTAAGGTCAGGCTTGACAAAGCCCTGGCTGGGATGATTTAATTGGGGATTGGTCCTGCTTTGAGCAGGGGGTTGGACTAGATGACCTCCTGAGGTCCCTTCCAACCCTGATATTCTATGATTCTATGATTCTACGTGCTACTGGCCTGCCGTGGAGCTGTCCATGGAGAACGCAATAAAGCTGCCCTCCCCAGAAACCTTTTGCAAAGGCTTTGGGAGTACCTCCAGGAGAGCTTCACTGAGATGTCCCTGGAGGATTTCTGCCCCATCCCCAGACACGTTAACTGACTTTTCCAGTAGCTGTACTGGCCGCGAATGCATCCCTTGTCTTCTGGGCAAAGTAATCATTAAACACGCTTGCTTTGAAACCGTGTATTATATTTACAAAGGTACACTCACCAGAGCTGCCTTCTCCGCCTTCAAGGTCCGGGAGCCCAGGTTGGGAGGGTATTGGATCCAGGGTGATAAAGAATTCCTGGCTGTTGGGGAGAACACTTTCTCCGTTTGCCTGGTGTGCGCTGTCTTCAACCTCCCCCTCCTCATCATCTTCCTCGTCCCCAAAATCCTCATCCCTGTTGTGTGAGACCCCCCACGTTGCAGGAGTCCATGTACAGGGGTGGGGAAGTGGTAGGGGCACCCCCTAGAATTGCATGCAGCTCATCATGGAAGTGGCATGTCTGGGGCTCTGACCCTGAGCTGGCATTTGCCTCTTGGGTTTTTCGGTAGGCTTGCATAAGCTCCTTAAGTTTCATGTGGCACTGCTTCGGGTCCCTGTGATAGCCTCTGTCCTTCATGCCCTTGGAGATTTTTTCAAATATTTTGGCATTTCATCTTTTGGAACGGAGTTCTGATAGCATGGATTCATCTCCCCATACAGCGATCAGATCCAGTATCTCCCGTTCGGTCCATGCTGGAGCTCTTTTGCGATTCTGAGACTCCATGGTCACCTCTGCTGATGAAATCTGCACGGTCACCTGTGCTGATCAGCTTGCCACGGTGGCCAAACAGGAAATGAAATTCAAAAGTTCGTGGGGCTTTTCCTGTCTACCTGGCCAGTGCATCCGAGTTCAAAGTGCTGTCCAGAGCGGTCACAATGGAGTACCGTGGGATAGCTCCCAGAGGCCAATGCCATGGAATTGCATCCACACTAACCCAAATTCGACCTGGCAATGTTGATTTCAGCGCTAATCCCCTCGTGGGGGAGGAGTACAGAAATCGATTTTAAGAGCCCATTAAGTCGACAAAAATGGCTTTGTTGTGTGGACGGGTGCAGGGTTAAGTTGATCTAACACCGCTAAATTCGACCTAAACTCATAGTGTAGACCAGGGCTCAGATTGCATGGGTATAACCAAGAGCGGAACTAATGCTAAGTACTGTTGTTGCTGAGGAAATAAGACAATTGTGCAGGATAAATCCACATGCTGCAATGACCTCCTTAGATGCTGAAATGTTATACTTTGGGCATCCTTCATATGCTGCAGCTGACCAATAGGAAAGCAGCACTCTCTTCTTGTAGGGTTATAATGCTATTGATCTGCTTTCCTCTGTTTTCATTTCAAGGGATGCTGTCTCCTCCACAGAATGTGACGCTAACATGTGAAAATTTCCATATTCTCTTGGTGTGGGAGCCCGGTTCCGGCTCAGGCAATGGCACCCAATACGAGGTTCAAAGTTACCAGCGGTATGTTACAGCGGTGAGCAGACTGACTCTTTTCCAGCCAGTTTTGTGTATTCCTAGGCCCATCTTTAACCTCTCTGCATTCTAGGGTTCTAGTTTCTTAACGGTCAGGTTATCCACCCTTCTGGACCCTTGCCTGGCTTCCCTCTTTTACCTGGGCGAATAACTGATTTTTAGGTTCCATGGCAGTTTTGAAAAATCAAACAAGAATTCAGTTAAATCCAAACTGAATCCAGGATTGCGATCATTTTCTACAAATTGAAAAAAATCCATTTTGGGTCAAATGAGACATGTTTCATTTGACCCAAAATGTATATTTTCAAACATTTTTGAAGGGCTAGATTCACAACCTGGAGAGTGGTGGTGCCCTTCTTATAATGTGTAGGGTATGCACCTGGGATGTCCCCAGGTTCAAGTCTGTCCTCATGGCTAATTATTTATTCAAAGTGGAACAGCTTCAACAGGAGAGACTTGCCCCAGATTATCCCAGAGCCCAGTGGTTAGAGCATTCTCCTGGAGACGCAAGTTCAAATTCCACTGCCTGAGGTGGAGAAGGAGGAATTAAACCTGGGTCTCCCATATCCCAGGTGAGTGTCCTAACCACGGGGCTGAAGTTTATAAGGAGGGCACCACCAGCAGCCATTTTCTGAATGGCGTCTGAGTCCTGAATAACAAACTTTGGGCAGAAACCATTCAGACAGTTGTGTCCAATTTGGAAAATAATTTCAGGTTGACTGGAACTTCATTTTTCAGTGAATGAACTATTCGTCTGAAACATTTTGCCCAAGTCTAATCTGGCCCAAGCAGCCCGACCAACAGCAGACATGTGAACCTCCCACCAGAAAGGGAGGAACTGAGCAGGAAGTGGAGGGCACTATGGCAGCCAGAGGGTTGTTTTTTAATTAAGTAAAAATATAAGCATATTTTCTGTCCCTTTCCACGGGCCAAGATGGCAGTGGATGGGGTGGAGGTGGAGCAGAGGATCAGTCTTGGCTGCTCCCTCTTCAGTCCAAAAGATTCCCACCTGACTCACCTGAGCAAGGTCTTTCCTTCTGGAGTCTCCCTGTCTGAGGGGGGATTAAATGGAGCTGGGAGGAGGTGGTGGGTAAGGGGTGCTGATGGCTCCTTCTTGTTGCATTACTGTGGCTGCTTCCATGTGCAGCTCTTCTAACTGGACCAAAGTGGACACCTGTTGGAGGAACAGCACCAAATCATCGCACACATGCAAACTGTACTTCGAAGACATACACAAAATGTACTGGGCCAGAGTGAGAGCCATGGATGGAACCTGGGTGTCCAAATGGACCATTTCCAATGAACTGCAACCTTACAGAGACAGTAAGAACCTTTGGGAGCCCAAGGGCAGGAGGAGGGGCATAGCAGTGACTGTGTGGAGGGAGATTCCCCATGGGTTTGAGTTTCTGGAGATGGGTTCCTGTGCTCCCTGGGGGAGCAAGATGGGAAAGGATTATGGGATGGTCAACACTGATGGGGAAGACAACGGGGTTCCGAGAAGGTAGGAATGATCTACCAGGGTGGAAGAGGATAGTGATTTAGGTCGCAGTGTTTTGAATAGGGCCTGGGGAGTACAGGAAAGATGAAATCCAACTTTTGGGAGAAATTTTGAGGCTTCTGTGTGTGTGTTCGGGGTGGGGAGGTTGGGCTGGATGGTGGTGGTGGTCACAATCACACCTGGCCTTGGAATCTGTGAATCTCCCTGTTCATCCCATTCTTTCATGGGCCATGCAGAGAAGAGGATTGCCTAATTGCTCATAACATTTCGACAATCATTACAATCTAATCTCATGCTTCAGGGCTTCAGCTGGTTGCCTGCAGGGGTTGGGAAGGAATTTTTTTCTTTGATGCACAGTTGTGTTCTGGTTGTTGTTTTTTCCCCACCTTCCTCTGAAGCATCAGAGATCAGTCATGGCTAGAGACAGGATACTGGTTGGGGTGGACCAGTGCTCCGAGGTGGTACAGAGAATCCTCTGTCTTAGATGCCTGGCTGGTGTGTCTTGATCACATACTCAAGATCTAATTTATCATCAGACTAGGGGTCAGGAAAGAATTTTGCCCCTGGTCATACTGGCAAGGATCTTGGGGTTTTTTGCCTTCCGCTGCAGCATGGGGCAATGTCTCACCTGATCAACTCCCTGCCATGGAAGGGCCTCAGGCACTGGTGGCATCTTGTTCTTTCCTGGTGCCTGGCCTCACAATGGTTTAGTCTCCTGAGGACTGAAATGCTTTGGTTTGACTGAAGTTGTTGGACTCAATACAGTATATTTGGGTGGAATTTAATGGCCTGTGCTATTCAGGAGGTCAGATTGGATGGTGTAATGGTCCCAGCTAGCCTTACACTCTTTGAAGTTATGCAAGGGGATGATGGGGCAGTAGTGAGAGTGGATGGAGTGGTCAGAGTGGATGGAGTGGTCAGAGGAGGGCAGGTGAAATGGGGACATGTTGAAGCCCTGCACGCAAGAGATTGAAAATAGAGGGAGAGAGAAGGGCTGAGAGTGGGAGCTTGAAAAGTGAGAAGGAGATGGAGTCAAGGGGGCAGGTTTACAGATTAAAAGTGGATAGTGAAAAATACCCCTCTGAGTCAGAGACAGGGGTGGAGAAGGAGGGAGCTTGGGCAAGTGGGGAGGAGAAGGCTGGGTGGGAGAAGGTTCTTGCTGGCTGGGTGTCTTGTCCTTGATGAATCCCATGAGATCCTGGGGAGGGGAGGGGTGAGAGTCCATGGCGGGGAACATTTTCTCTGGAAAGATGGGGATGCCTCTCTCTAAGCTAATGCAGATTCACATTTTGAGTGTGACTGAAAGTGCTGAGATGCCCCCGTGGTGACCAGAGCAGACAGCTAGACAGGGACACAAAAAACAGCTGCTGGGCAGGGGTAGACCTAGGAGTCCACACAGAGTCATCCTGCCAGAAAGGAGCTAGCTGCTAGCAGAACTGTGCAGAGTCCCAGACAGAGAGAAGGACCAAGTGTCTTCCAAGCCATACTTCTGTGTCCAGAGCCTCTCCCACACCGTACAAGGATATTACTGTGGAGGAGTGAACGAGGAGGGTTTGTACATAGCAGGTTGCCTGAGTCACAGCAGGGGAGGCTGGGGGAGGAGTTTTTTTTCTGATTCTTCCTTGTAACTGCCTTTTGTTGTTTGTAATCCTCTCTGAGGTCACAACCTGCTCATATCTCACTGTCAATTCTGGGAGAGCTGGTTACTCCAGCCATTCTCTCCAGGTGCTTTCCTGTTTGTAGCCATTCTGCTGTGCCAGCTCTCTCAGGGAAGGCATGTATCTCAGGTGTTCCTCTAGGTGCATTTGAGGGCCAGCCAGAGGTGAATTGGGGCATTTTTGAACATGGATTCACCTTGCATGGCTTCATTCTCTGACTGCAGAGAAGTAAATTAGAGGTAGAGAACTGCCCAGCAAAAATGCCTTCACTGTAACCTGTAGGGAGCCCATTGAAGGGTGAAAGGTTAGTTCAGTTCCATGCCCATTCATTCCTTGGCAATTTGCTGATATTGCTGTTTGGAATGGTGGATTTACATGGTTGACGTATGTCCCACCATTAGGACCTGGACTGAGACTACCTCCTCATATCATATGGGCTGTTCATCAACTGTCAAATGATAACCTCTGTCACCAACTGTCAACCTGATCCTGATTTGAAAACAGCAACCTGGATGAGACAGGGTGCAAGCCATTTCCAATCCTAGAGAGACAAGGTGGGCGAGGTGACATCTTTTATTGGACCAACTTCTGTTGGTGAGAGAGACAAGCTTTTTGAGCTCCGTAGAGCTTGTGTTCAGGTCCTGAAGAAGATGAGCTCTGTGTAGTTTGGAAGCTTGTCTCTTTTGCCAACAGAAGTTGGTCCAATAAGAGATGTTACCTCAACCACTTTGTCTCTTCAATATCCTGGGAACAGCACAGCTAACAACACTGCAAATTACCAATCCTGTAACCCCGGACAGCTAACTTCTGATTCCAGAAGCTTTGTAGGTGATAGTATATCAAGTAGATGGAGACACCTTGGTTTTCAGATACTAGGTGAATATGTAGAGTTAGCAGCCATAATACTCTAATTTTTACCTTTTAATCTGAGTAAATTTAACATGGGAGTGAGAGTCTGGAGTTGCCACTTGAGGGATTTTGTCTGACAGTAGAAAAACTCAGCTGTTGTCATGACGTAGTGAGGCACATTGCAGTGAAACATGATGGTTTGTTGTATCATCACGTTGACATCATCATGGCTGGATGCAGGGAGAATGTCATCCTGTGACACAGCGTTGCAACAACATGGCCTTTCATGGGCCTCAAAAGTGACTTCAGGATTTGTGAATGCTGGCAGGTCATCCAGAAGGCTCTCTGAAAATGTGCGGAAGCGGGTGCCACCCTTTGGTGCCAGGTGCCATATTTGTGTGGAGAAGTGCCTCTCTATTTTCTAGACAGAGTTGGAACAGGAAACTATCTGGGGCGGTAAAAGGAGCTCTTGAAGACCATAAGGTTGGAATTTATGGCTTCAACTATCTTTAAAGGAAAGGGCATAGGAATCCCGGCAATAGAGGATGATGCCCTTGGAGTCTAGCTGGAGAAGAAGATTGGGCAACCTGCAGTGTCTTTTCTGTGTCCAGTCTAGACAGAATTAGATATGGCCAATCTTCCTGCAAATCCTTGACTGACTTAGATTGTAACCTCTTTGGGGCCCAGACCAATTTTCCATTATGTACAGTGTAACCCACACACCTCCAGGGTGTGGTGTTCCATCCACTCTAGTGGCATCGAGACCACTTGGAGAGAGAAAAAGAGATGAATGAGTCTGTTCTACAGCCTTAGCTAAGAGCCAGTTGGCTTTTAGCTCATGCTGTAGAGGCTCATGCACTAACCTATAGAGGTCACAAGTTTGATCCCGCCTACCGGGGTCTGTCAGTGTTACAACAGTGCCTAGAACAATGAGGCCCCAATCCCAGAATAGAGCATCCGAGCACTGTAGTAATACCAATAATAATTAATAAATCCTTGGCACAAATACCTATAAAAATTATGAACTTGTGAATCTCAGTGAAAGGGAAGTGTTATGGTACTTAGCAGAAAATGTTTCAGAGAACACTGCCAAGCAGAATCAGGGACATCTCTGGACTAGAGCCATTTCTTAGCATTTAAAAAAATTCCTGTGTTTTTAATCTCTCCAGTGGCTTTTGAGTGTGCAGTTTCCATGTCCCGCATTATGCTCCCATTGGTTGGTTTTGGTTAAGACATTAGCAAAAGCTGAAACACAGTGGTTAGCACTGCAGTTGCCACTCTTGCTGTATATTTGCACTGAGCACGCTCACATTGTTGCATGTTGGTTGGTATGTGTAGTGTGTGTAAAGGCTGCATATTGAATAGGGCTGATTAACTGAGGACAGGGGCATCACTGTTTGGGAAGGAATGGCAAAGGGATTGGGGATTAAAAGTGGTTGCTGCCACTATTAACCGGGTTAATGCCTCTTTCCTTTGTTCCAAGCTTTCTACTATTGTACTCTGAGTGTCTCTGATGTTCAAGTGAAACAAAAGTGTAGTCGCTTTGGGAACTTCTTGTTTCATTGTAAAACTCATGACTTAATGGGGAAAAAGAGCTGGAATAAATGGACTGAAACACACTGGCTGAAAATAACCCAGTTAAAGGATTCTGTTACTGACTGAAATGCCTACTGAGCTTTGACAATGGTGCAAGGGAGTGCGAGATGGAGAGCTAGATTCGCTCCCCTTTCAACGGTGCTGGGTTGAACTCTCCAGATCAACCAAAGCTAAGAGCAGTGAGGGAGCCATAGAGACTGGATCTTCTGCCGGCCACGCAGTCCTTCCACGTGATTTGTGGAATAGCCCAGGATGGGATAACAGTATGAAGTCCTAGGTAGGATGGAACAGAATAGCACAGAATAGACTCAGGGATTGGATTTCCCCCTTAGGAGCGTTTGCTCAGGACAAGGCTGGAATTCATTAGTGGAGTAATGGAGGTACTGAATGATTACCCAGACTGAGTAAATTCCCCTCTTGCTCCAAGGCTGAGGATTTGTGACTGACACAGTGAATGAACACAAAGATGGAATTCTAGATACAATTTAAAGTTTTCTATTGCAAAAGGCTAGGGTTAGGGTTAGTCCAATTGAAAATAGCTTTTTGATGAACTGACAGTTTTTTGCAGACATTTCTAGTTTGGGATTATCAGTTTTCCTACCAATCTGAAAAAAAATGTAGAAAAATTTCAATGAAAATGGGGGAAAAATCAATTTCATTGAAATGATACACTGGGGAAAAAATTATTTCCTAAGCTACTCTATTGAAATCCTGTCATCCCAGGAGCTGGGTGTCTCTTCAGGATTGAGCAGTCCTGAAGACCAAGTCCCATCTCAGGTGTCTATGTGCAGCCAGAGTTTGAGCCTTGGCTCTACTTGAAGATTTAATTCATACTATAACTCCAAGTCTGAGTTGTAGATTCCTGCTGGGAAAAGCCAGCCCATCTGGCTCTTGAGATAAAATGCACTTAACTCTTCCACCCAGCAAGGCCATGAGCTACAGCAGTAGTCTGAAACCTTTCTACACCCAAGATCACTTTTGGAATCTAAGGGCAACCCAGAATCTACCCCGCCCCTTCCCCGAAGCCCTGCCCCTTCCCAAAGCCCCGTCTCGCTCACTCCATCCCCCCACTCTCCGTCGCTTGCTCTCCCCCACCCTCACTCACTTTCACCGGGCTGGGGCAGGGGGTTGGGGTTCGGGATGGGGTGCAGGCTCTGGGCTGGGGCCAAGGGGTTTGCAGTGTGGGAGAGGGCTCTGGGCTGAGCCTGGGCAGGGTGCTGGGGTGCAGGAGGGGGTGAGGGATGCAAGCTCTAGGAGGGAGTTTGGGTGCAGGAGGGGGTTCTGGGCTGGGGCAGAGTGTTGGTTACAGGAGGGGGTACAATGGAACTGGCTCTGGGAGGGGGGGTCAGGGCTGGGGCTTGGGGTACAGGAGGGGATTTGGGGTGCTGGCTTTGGGAGGGGGTTCAGAGTGGGACTTGGGGTGCAGGAGGGGGTATGGGATACTGGCTCCGGGAGAAGGCTCAGGGCTGGGGGTTGGTATGCAGCCTTTTGCTGGGCAGCACTTATTTCTGGCGGCTCCAGGTCGGGGGCGGGCGCAGCAAGGCTAAGGCAGGCTCCCTGCCTACCCTGGCCCCACACTGCTCCCAGAAGGTGTGGCCCCTGGGGGGGGCGTGGCAGGGGCATGTGGCTCTATGCACCACTCCTCTCTACAAGCACCGCCCCCGCAGCTCTCCCAGCCAATGGGAGCTGTGGGGGAGGTGCTTGCAGGCAGGATCAGCACGAGGAGGGAGACCCTGCCCCCCCACCTCCGGGGCCATGGGGCTGACCGCTTCTGGGAGCAGCGTGGGGCCAGGGTAGGCAGGGAGTCTGCCTTAGCGGCAGCCCCACTCAACTGCCAGAGATCGCATTTGACTGGGAGATCCTCTTGGATTGACCAGTCAATCGCGATTGAGCGGTTGGTGGCCACTGAGCTACAGAGTTCCAGTGGAATATTCAAAAATTCCTTGGAGACTTAAATTCCTTGGACTTTCAGGCTGCCTAGAGGCAGCAGTAGGCTTAATGAGGCCTGAGATGCGTGTAATCTGAGAAGCACAGAGTAGGTTAGCAAGAAACAGGTCCTGAGATGCGTGTAATCTGAGAAGCACAGAGTAGGTTAGCAAGAAACAGGTGCTAATGGGCGGTAGCCAACTGAAAATTTGCGATAGTTTCTGTAGCTTCCAGACATCGCATATGTCACCACCAGGCAGCACTACTGCCAGACCTACCATGACAGCGGATGAAGTTACCAAACTCTAGGACAGGAATCTACAAAAAGAAGGTGATTGGTTCTAAGGAAACAAGTAACCTGACAGTTGTGCCTTTTCTCTTTGATTTTTACAGCGATTGTGGGTCCCCCTAACCTGACTCTTATATTGGTGAATGAGAATCTGACTGTAAATCTGTCCATGCCACTCACCCCTTACCGCAGGAGAAATGGCACTTACAAGTCAGTCCAGAAAGTGCTTCCGAACTGGAAGTACCGGGTCAGCCTTTCCGAAAAGGGCGTTCACATCAACAACGTAAGTAACATTCACAGTGTGACGGGAGGAGAAGAGGAGGTTACACACTTCTGTGTGATGTGAGGTTGGGCAGAGTGGTGGGTGATATCAGAAATTGTACTGGGTGAACCTCACAAGGGGCAGGGGTTGGGTTTGGTTTGGTTTGGCCAAAAGAATGTCAAAGTTTGGATGCTTATTTGAGCTTCCTGAGTCAGCAAAATTGGGTTGGAAATCTTACGGGATCAGGATTACTGGTCCTTCAACTTCTGATCCCAGCTGGCACCCAGGGCCATCCCAAGCAAAAAATTTGCCGTCCCAAGCTCTGAGAGCGCAACTGTCCAAGGGGGGGAAAAAAAGGGTGGCTGGAATGCCGCCCCTGGAATTGTGCCACCCCAAACACGTGCTGCTTTCCTGGTGGACTAGAGCCGGTCCTGCTGGCACCCTTCCTGGTGGTGGTTTGGTACCTCTAGTTCTGGGACCCAGATGTTTGGAGATGGGCAAGAAACTACTCCTGCGAACATTTCAAAAGGGATTGAGTTTGTTTCTAGGACTGGGTTCTAGCAAAGGCTTGAGGACTGGGGTGGTTTCTTATTTTTCCAAACTAGTTCACCCATCCCTAATCAGGAGACGGAGAGGGAACTCTTGTAAGTGAAGGGCAGAGAGAGTGGAATGCCTTAGAAGCCACTAAATGGCATGTGTAAAGTGGGAAGACCTCAAGAACAGAAATGCGGACTGAACTATGGATTAGGTATGGAAAGTACTTATTAGAGGTGATTAAAGACCCCTGAGTGATGGTGTAACATAATCTGCACTGGAACTAGCTGACAGGTAGCTGCAGAGAGCAAAATGCAGTCAGGAAAGGTCCAGAGAAAGGCAATGAAGAGAGACTGACAGAGCAGGAGTAGTTAAGTCAGAGAAGAGTCGTGGAAGAGGGGATGTGACGGAGATACATAAAGTAATGAATGAGAGGGACTGATAAATCAGACACTTCTATTTTCTCTTTCTCCTAATGCAAAGGGGACACTAAGTGGAATGAAAAGGCAGCAAGTTTCAAACTGACATAAAAAAAGGCTTTTTTGCATAATGAACATATTGGATTCCTTGCCACAAGATACTGAAGCTAACAGCTCGACAGCATTCCAGAAAAGCATTAGACATTGTGCTACTGTGTTCATGGATAAGAAAAATGACTGAAATTACATTAGCTAAGATAAAAATGCACATGGATATTAACCTGCATAAACCAGCCACTAACTACCTCTTCTTAGGAAGAAACTGATCCCACAGCCATGTTATTGTGGAATTATCCATTGGGGAGGTTTTAGACCAGGGTTGGGCAAACTTTTTGCCTTTTTGCCCTTTTGTCCATTGGGGAGGTTTTAGACCGGGGGAGGGGCACATCAGGGACTAGAAATTGTATAGAGGGCCATGAATGCTCACAAAATTGGGGCGGGAGGTGGTGCGGGCTCTGGGGATCAGGAGTTTGGGGTGTAGGAGGGTGCTCTGGGCTGAGATCAAGGGGTTCGGAGGGTGGAAGGGGGATCTGGGCTGGGGCAGGTGTGCGGGAAGGGGTGCAGGTTCTGGCTGGGGGTATGGACTCTGGGGTGGGGCTGGGAATGAGAGGTTTGGGGTGCAGGAGTGTGCTCCGGGCTGGGATTGAGGGGTTTGGAGAGCGGGAGGGGGATCAGGGCTGGGGCAGGCTCCGAGCAGCACTTACCTCAAGCGGTTCCCGGAAGCAGTGGCATGTCCCTTCTCTGGCTCCTATGCAGAGGCGTGGCCAGGCATCTCTGCACGCTGCCCCATCCACAGGCACCACCCCTGCAGCTTTCATTGGCGTGCATAGGAGCTGGAGCGGGGCTGTACCGTGGCTTCCGGGAGCTGCACGGTGTGGCCCCAGCCAGTGCACCGGAGGGGGACTGAGCCGTGTGGTGCAGTCCCCAACCCAGCACCCCAGCCGGAGCATTGGAGCAGGACCAAGCCTCAAGGTGCGGCCCCCAAGCCAGCGCCCCGGCCGGAGCATCGGAGCACGGCTGAGCTGCGTGGTGAGGCTCGCGGTCCAGATCCAGCCCATGGGCCATAGTTTGCTCACCCCTGTTTTAGACCTTCTTTGGAAGCATCTGGTACTAGTCCCTGGATATTGGGTTAGATGGATCCCCTGGTCTGATCTATTTTGGCAATCCCTCTGTTTTTAAAATGACAGTAGCTTTCTGCTGAAGGATGTGTCATATGCCTCAGGAGTCAGGAAGCATAGACACCTCACAAGGGTGACATGAGAGAATTTTTGCTCCATGGTGCAGTTGTTAGGCAGGTGTTATCATGGCAATGTCTCCCTCTCTCCTTAAGGTGTCCCTTCAGCCAGAGGGCAAGATAACTTCGCACACATTTGAGTTCCTGAAACCAAACACCAATTACTGTGTCACAGCCCGTGTGGTCCGACAGCAAAGCAAGGTGTCTGTGCAATGTATCAAGACTCCAGACAGTCCAGCAGGTAAGACAGCTTCAGGGCAGTGCCACTGCTGTATTCCCTGTTCAGACTTCTGGCTTAGATCTGGGGATGGATTGACTGGTCAGGGCCGTGGCCATCAAGGACAACAGAGATAGAGAGCCGAGTCTGTGAGAGGAGGGTGACCTGATAAGCTGCGTGATTGAATTTGGTGAATCTGCAGAGCCACATGAGCATAGAAAGTCATTGCTCCCACAGTGTAACATGGCTGGCGTTTTGCTAAGCATTCCAAACTATGTTGTTTCTGAGGGTAGCCACTTAGAGATGATAAGGAGTTAACTACAGATGGCATGTTGTGCCCCTCTTACCTGGATTGCAAAGAGCACTCAGGTGCTAATGTCCTCCCACCCATCCTGTAGCATGTCTGCCATTGAACAAGACCCAGCTGTGGGTGTGTTCCGGTAGCCTCCGCAAAGGAAAGCAAAGTGTGCTGATGCAAGAGTGACTTGCAGACACAAAGAGGAGCACAGCTCTCATGAAGGACTTGCCTATGGCTCAGCCACTAGAGCTGCTTTGGACCAGTTGCTCTCGTTGGAGATGGGGTTGGAGGTGCACGTTGCTACATCTGCTCAGAGAACCTGGACACCAGTGAACTGGTACATGTCCAGAGTTAAAATAATGAGGAGCAGGGGGAGTGCAGTTCTCCCTCTCCCCTCATTCTTCACAGCCCGCCCCCCCTCCAGCACCCCCGGTGGTGCAGCAAGGGCACCCTTTCAGTCACTGACCAGGCCCCAGCTGGCTGACGAGAGGGCGCAGGTAGCACCTCCTTTGGTGTAAGTGATGGGGGTGACTCGCACCGATTGGTAAGACCTCCATGTGGCATGTAGCAGTCCAGATGATCAGGCCCCGAAAGGTGGGTCAGTGTGAGCATTTCTCTCTCCCCCCTGCTTGAACTGTTCTTAATTCTTTTCAGATTTCCTTTGGGACCTTGTTCTTGCTCTGGTTGCCCTCCTCCTGCTGCTTCTGCTGAGCACCATTGGCTTCTATTTCCTCAAGCTCTACATGTATTCAAGCGTCTCAGAAATGCCCTTCCCCAAAACACTGGTGAGTGAGCAACAACTCCTGTCAAGCATCAGTAAATGGCACTTTATTGTTACACTGCTGAGGCCATGCAGCAGTTAGGCTGTGCACTGGCTGGACATCCCAAGCCCTCTAATTCTTACAGAGCATGCCTCCTGCTCTGGAACTGGCAGCTCTTCGTTCTCTCTGCTGGGCTGTGAGTTTACACAGATACGTTTGGTCGGGATGAACAGTGATTGACTAGGGAATCACTGAGTGAATGCCATACCTAACGGAGAGCACTGGAGGGAGCTTCGGGAAGGAGACACGAGGGGAAGAGGTTTCAGAGTGGTAGCCATGTTAGTCTGTATCAGCAAAAACAACGAGGAGTCCTTGTGGCACCTTACAGACTAACAAATTTATTTGGGCATAAGCTTTCGTGGGCTAAAACCCACTTCATCAGATGCATGGAGTGGAACACACAGTAGGGAGGTATACATACACAGCATATGAAAAGATGGGAGTTTCCTTACCAAGTGGGGGGTCAGTGCTAACGAGCCAATTCAAGAGGGGAAGAGTGGAGAATAACAAAGAGGGTGAAGCTGAGATATTTCCTAAGTAGGGCTGTCAATTAATCACAGTTAACTCATGCGATTAACTCAAGACAAATTAATTCATTTAAAAAAGTTAATCGCAATTAATTACAGTTTTAATCACACTGTTAAATAATAATAGAATACCAACTGAAATTTATTATAAATGTTTTGGATAGTTTTTCTACATTTTCAAATATATATTGATTTCAATTGCAACACAGAATACAAAGTGTACAGTGCTCACTTTATATTATTATTCTTGATTATAAATATTTTCACTGTAAAAAGATAAACAAAAGAAATACTATTTTTTCAATTCACCTCATACAAGTACTGTAGTGCAATCTCTTTATCGTGAAAGTGCAATTTGCAAATGTAGATTTTTTGTTACATAACTGCACTCAATAACAAAACAATGTAAAACTTTAGAGCCTACATGTCCACTCAGTCCTACTTCTTGTTCAGACAATTGCTAAAACAAACAAGTTTGTTTACATTTACAGGAGGTAATGCTGCCTGATACTTATTTACAATGTCACCTGAAAGTGAGAACAGGCGTTCGCATGGCACTGTTGAAGCTGGCACTGTAAGGTACTTACGAGCCAGATTATGCTAAACATTTGTATGCCTCTTCATGCTTTGGTTTGAAGATTGCACTATCTTTTGGTTTTTTACAGAGCAAAAATTTGTAATAAAAGTAATTATATAAAGTGAGCACTCTACTCTTTGTATTCTGTGCTGTAATTGAAATCAATATATTTGAAAATGTAGAAAAACATCCAAAAATATTTATACCAAATTTCAATTGGTATTCTATTATTGTTTAACAGTGTGATTAAAATTGTGATTAATCACAATTAATTTTTTAATTGAGTTAATTGCTTGAGTTAACTGTGATTAATTGACAGCCCTAGTGCTAACTACTTATGTTAAACATTTGTAAATTGCACTTTCATGATAGAGATTGCACTACAGTACTTGTATGAAGTGAATTGAAAAGTACTATTGCTTTTGTTTATCACTCACCATGGCCAACAAAATGGCAGATGACATTCAGTGTTGATAAATGCAAAGTAATGCACATTGGAAAACATAATCCCAACTATACATACAAAATGATGGGCTCTAAATTAGCTGTTACCACTCAAGAAGGAGATCTTGGAGTCATTGCGGATAGTTCTCTGAAAACATCCAGTCAATGTGCAGCGGTAGTCAAAAAAAGCGAATAAAATGTTGGGAATCATTAGGAAAGGGATACATAATAAGACAGAAAATATTATAATGCCTCTATCTAAATCCATGGTACGCCCACACCTTGAATACCTCATGCAGTTCTGGTTGCCCCTTCAAAAAAAAATTAGAATTGGAAAAGGTAGAGAGAATGGCAACAAAAATTATTAGGTATATGGAACAGCTTCCATATGAGGAGAGATTAGTAAGACTGGGACTTTTCATCTCAGAAAAGAGATGACTAAGGGGGGATATGATAGAGGTCTATAAAATCATGACTGGTGTGGAGAAAGTGAATAAGGACGTGTTATTCACCCCTTCACATAACAGAAGAACCAGGGGTCACCCAATGAAATTAATAGGCAGCAGGTTTATAACAAACAAAAGGAAGTACTTCTTCACACTGTACGGTCAACCTGTGGAACTCAATGCCAGGGGATATTGTGAAGGCCAAGACTATAATGGGTTCAAAAAAGATTTAGTAAATTCATGGAGGATAGCTCCATCAGTGGCTATTAGCCAGGATGAGCAGGGATGCAACCCCATGCTCTTGGTGTGCATTAGTCTGTGACTGCCAGAAGCTGGAACTGGATATAGGTCTAGTTGGATGTCTATATTGGGGGAAGGGGGGCAGCTTCAGCCAGGACAACAGGACCTGGAGTGAGGGGCAAATTCCACACCTGCCCTGAGGCTTGCAGTTGGGGAGGGGGCAATACCCCCCCAACCCCCTCCTCAAACTGCATCCATGCTGGATGACAGGGGATGGATCACTCGATAGTTGCCCTGTTCTGAACATTCCCTCTGAGGCACCTGGCACTGGCCACTGTCAGAAGACAGGACACTGGGCTAGATGGACCATTGGTATGACCCAGTATGGCCGTTCTTACGTTTATGTTAGTGACAAGAGTGGTGTAAATGACTAGGCAGGAGGACAGGTTCACCCAAGCCTCATTTTGAGACAGTCCCTTACAGAGGGCAGTGTCAGATTGTTTTCCTGTTCCCTGCCAGTTTATGTACTGGAAGTTATTGTTGCAGTCATTTGTGTCTGCTGGAAAGTAGAGTCTTTTTAGCTGAAACTGATACATGTGTAGTAACTAGGAAAAGGGGAATGAGAATGAATTGCTGTGGCTGTTACTGGTGCTAACCATGAGAGAATCACTTTAGCAAACAAACCACTCCAAAAGGTTTCTCTTGTGGTTTATGATTTAACTAAGCAGTCCCTCACAGGATTGTTCCCTTCTCTACAGTTGGAGGTACTGAAATTTATTCATGTGTTGATGAGCATGTCTGTGGTGCTCATTGCCATCATATGTGAGTCTCTGTTATTGCTTTGTATTGATTTGTTGTTCATTTTTGGCAGGCTATTCTGAATGAAGAGCTAAATGTGAATCTCTGGAACAAGTCACTTGCCCATGACCTCGAGGGTACCTCTGTCACTCTGATCTCAGTGGCTGGGCTTGCCTTCAATGATAACTCCCCAGTGGAGCAAGAAAGACTCCAAATCCAGCTACTTCCAGAAGGCTGCCAGGCCTGGGAGGAGGAAGACTACTGTGCCAATGGGTTTGGTCCAGACTACTGTGAAAACATGGTCTCTTCCAGTTCCTCGGGCCAGCTAGAGTTTGCTGGCACTGTAGACTCTGAAGCCCCCTTGTCATCAGCAGGACAGATGAAGGATGTATATACAGGTGAGGGGAACTACAGGACTGCACTGGAGGTCCAGCTTCCTGTGGGCCAGTTGGTGTTTTCTGAGCAGCTATCTCCAGTGTCAGCAGGACTGTCCAGAGATGGTTATATGGGTGACAGGGGCTTCCGGACTTGCTCAGAGATTCAGATTCCTCTGCATCTCCAGGTTTATTGCAAGTACTCACCTTCAGTATCAGAAACCTGCAGTCTTTCACCATCAACCTTCAGCCTCAGAGACCTTAAAAAGAACACTGATGGCAAGAGGAGAGGGTGGCCACTCACGGACTGGGTTGATATTCCTCTCAGCTCCGTGAAACTGCAGGTCAATGGAGAAACACGAGACCACCTTGCTCCTTTTCCCACGCACTTGTACAGTCACACTGCTGATAAGACAATGAAGGACCACAAAGCAGATTTGGCAAGGTTGGGTCAGAGTGATGTAAAGCAGCAGGAATACCTACCTATGAGCCAAGAGCAGCATGGCTTCCCAGAGCGCACAGAGCTTAGCAATGACCCCAGTGGGGAGCTGTACCCAAAGGCTGATGACACTAAGATCACGACTTTCTCTAGCTATGAATTACACCCTCAAGTGCTTGTCCTGTAGCTAATGATACTGGAGCTGGGAAGAAGACATTAGTGTACAGGGAGATTTCCCATATGTTTATCCACGTGCTTATCCATGGACTCACTTGTAGTGGTGTGAATCAAGACTGACACCACTGAAGTGTTATATACATAAAACCAGTGAGATCAGACTTTGGAACTGGGCGGAAACCAAAACCCTAGCTCCAAATCCAGGAACCTTCACCCCTGAACAGCAGCCCCTCAGTTGGAAGTTCACTGCCAGGGTGATTGGACTTGGCCATGTGGCCAATAGAGATAGTTTGACCTGTAAATTTAGATACAACCTTTTGGTTCAGGCCCACCTGCAGTAGAAACCAGTGGAGACTCATGGTTTTGACTGAGTTTCAGTGTGAGTTTGTGGGTCCATCTGAACATGAAACTTAAGAAAAACATCGACACAAAGCAAAAACAAGGGAAAGGCTCTGAGTGGTTCCTGAGACCTGATTGAATCACATTTCTCATACAGCTTTAGTGACAGACAAACTGAGGGGGTGACTTTCTCTCTAGTATATGTATATATCTGATGTGAAGCTGGAAACGTTGAATGTACATTGTAAGTATCTCTTTCTTAGAACACTAATTTATTATGGAAATGTCTCTCTTTCATGCTCTGTCTTCTGCATCACGCAAGACCAGTCCAGCTTTGCATACATTACACAAAGCTATAATATGCTGCAGCAAATGTATGAGAAATATACTAAGAAAATTGGGGGTTTCCCTATGGGGAAAGGGAGCCACTTGCTTTTCAGAACCTGCTTTATGTGTTGCCATCACCTGTGAAAAGATAGTTGTTTCAATAGCTGTTTTATAATAACGGTTGGTTGGTTTTTATTCCCTTCCCTCCTCCATAATTTTGGGATTATTTTAGGTTACAGTCATGGGTTCTGTTATCATCTTTTGCTGACTATCTGATCTGCTTCTGAGGTTGCACTCCAGATTAGATACATGGGGTGAAATCCTTGCTCCCTTGAAGTCAGATTTCACCCATGTTATATGCAATATGAACATTGATAGATTGTAAACCCCGGAGCATAGTAAAGAGATACCTGCCAACTCCAGGCTGGTCGGGGAAAATCCAAGAAGGCTCTGTGGAAGAAGGGGGTAGGGTAGAAATGGTATCAGAAAACAGGGGAAAAAGAGAAAAATCCTGGCTGTTGTGCATTTTGTTAACACCCTTGTTTTGATGAGAGTTTGGTGACTGATGCATGACTCTTCCCCAATATTTGAGGTGACAAAAGCACACTCCTTCTCCATAACCCTCTGTAGGAGCTTTGGGTGAAAACACCATCTCAGCCTTAGGCACAGGGGCATTCCCAAGATGCTATAGTAATTGATTCATCATCCTGCTCTCTGGCTTTCTCTTCTGCTCCGTCTGCCCCCTCCTCTCTGAAAACCCTTTGTTCACAGATGTACAAATGGCACCTGGCTATGTGGTTGGAATGCCCTTTTCCACTGATCCCCACAGCATTGATACCAGACCTCATTTCGTTCTGAAATCTGGGGTTAGTTGTTTCATCTGAAGAACATATCGCAGCACAGTGTAATTATTCTAGCAGGTGAGATCTTGAAGACAGGGAAAGGGGGCTACCCAAAGGGGTCCTTCCTGACTCAACATCAGAAACAGAAGATGAAATCATCAAGTACTTTACCTTCCCTTGCCAGGTTTTCACAGCACTTCCATCAGCAAGTGCGAGACATGGGGCCCATCTTCTGGAAGTGAATTGCACTTGGGACACGTGCTAGGCACGATCTCCTCAGGTGAGAGTCTCAAAGAGACCTAAAGGAATCAGGAACACATTTCCTTTAGACCCCATTGAAAATCCAGTCCCCATGGTGTCATGGTTTCCTAAGGCTACGTCTGCACTGAAACCCCCCCACCTCCGGCAGCAGCGAGTAGGGGGTGTGAGAAAGAGTCATCCAGGTAGAGGGGAAAATACCAAAGAAACCTACCACAATAGCATTTAACTACAAAAAGGGGACCTACACAACAGTGAGGAAGCTATTTAAATGGAAAATAAAAGGAACAGTCACAAGAGTGAAATGCTTGCAAGCTGCACGGAAACTTTAAAAACAGAAAGAAGCTCAAACTAAATGTATATTGTCAAGCTTCCTTCCCCACTCTGAACTCTAGGGTACAGATGTGGGGAACTGCATGAAAGACCCCCTAAGCTTATTCTTACCAGCTTAGGTTAAAAACTTCCCCAAGGTACAAACTTTGCCTTGTCCTTGAACTGTATGCTGCCACCACCAAGCATTTTAAATAAAGAACAGAGAAAGAGCCCACTTGAAGACGTCTTCCCCCAAAATATCCCCCCAAACCCTATACCCCCTTTCCTGGGGAAGGCTTGATAAGAATCCTCACCAATTTGTACAGGTGAACACAGACCCAAGCCCTTGGATCTTAAGAACAATGAAAAATCAATCAGGTTCTTAAAAGAAGAATTTTAATTAAAGAAAAGGTAAAAGAATCACCTCTGTAAAATCAGGATGGTAAATACCTTACAGGGTGATCAGATTCAAAACACAGAGAATCCCTCTAGGCAAAACCTTAAGTTACAAAAAGACACAAAAACAGGAATATACATTCCATCCAGCACAGCTTATTTTACCAGCCATTAAACAAAAGGAAATCTAACGCATTTCTAGCTAGATTACTTACTAATTTAACAGGAGTTGTAAGGCTGCATTCCTGATCTGTTCCCGGCAAAAGCATCACACAGACAGACCAACCCTTTGTTCCCCCCGGGCAGATTTGAAAGTATCTTGTCCTCTCATTGGTCATTTTGGGTCAGTTGTCAGCTAGGTTACCTTAGCTTCTTAACCCTTTACAGGTGAAAGGGTTTTGCCTCTGGCCAGGAGGGATTTTACAGCACTGTAAAATACAGAAAGGTTGTTACCATTCCCTTTATATTTATGACACGCCCCCCCAAATCACAGATAGGATGAAACACTGGCTGTGATTTCTTGCTGGAGCTCTAGGGGAAAACAGAGTTAATAAGACACATGCATCTCTGAATATACTACTAACTTTATAAAGACTGACAATATTTTCCACATCTTAAGGACGATTTGGACCAGTTGATTCTGGGAAACTTTCATGGGAGAGTGCATCAGCCACTTTGTTAGAAGCTCCTGAGATGTGTTGTATGTCGAAATCAAAATCGTGGAGAGCTAAACTCCACCGAATATGTTTTTTGTTATTTCCCTTGGTGGTATGAAGCCACTGTAGTGAAGCATGGTCGGTTTGCAGGTGGAAACGCCTTTCCCAAACATATGGGCGTAGCTTTTCCAGAGCGTAGACAATGGTGTAACATTCCTTTTCACTGATTGACCAGTGGCTTTCCCTCTCAGACAGCTTCTTGCTGAGAAACACGACAGGATGGAACTCTTGATTCGGTCCTTCCTGCATTAAGACTGCTCCTACACCACACTCGGACACATCTGTGGTTACTAGGAATGGTTTGTCAAAGTCTGGGGCCCTTAGTACAAGGTCAGACATGAGTGTCGCTTGAAGCTGGTTAAAGGCCTTCTGACACTCTTCAGTCCACTGAACTGCATTTGGCTGTTTCTTTTTGGTTAGGTCTGTCAGTGGGGTGGCGATTTGGCTGTAGTGCGGTACAAATCGCCTGTAATATCCGGCCAAGCCTAAGAAGGATTGGACCTGTTTCTTTGACTTTGGGACAGGCCACTTTTGGATAACATCCACTTTGGCCTGTAGGGGGTTGATAGTTCCTTGACCCATCTGGTGTCCAAAGTAAGTCACTCTGTTTAGGCCTATTTGACACTTCTTAGCCTTAACAGTTAGTCCTGCCTCCCTTATGCGCTCGAAGACTTTTTGTAGATGTTCCAGGTGTTCTGCCCAGGAATCTGAAAATATGGCCACATCATCACAGTAGGCGACTGCATATTCTCCCAATCCAGCTAGGAGAACATCTAAAAGTTTTTGGAAGGTGGTGGGTGCTTTCCGCAGCCCGAAAGGGAGCACATTAAATTCATACAGCCCGACATGTGTGATAAAGGCTGACTTTTCCTTGGCGGATTCATCTAGCGGTACCTGCCAGGACCCCTTGGTTAAGTCCAAGGTAGAGATGAACTGAGCCCGTCCCAATTTCTCCAATAGTTCATCTGTGCGTGGCATTGGATAGTTGTCTGGGCAAGTTATAGCATTTAGCTTACAGTAGTCCATGCAAAAACGTACCTCCCCATCTGGTTTGGGAACTAGAACCACTGGAGATACACTGGCACTGCCAGAGGCATGGATTACATCCATCTGTAGCATATCCTGGATCTCCTGTTATATAGCAGTTTTAGCTTGAGGAGACACCCGGTAAGGTTGGGCTCTAATTGGGTGAGCATTACCTGTGTCAATGGAGTGGTATGCCCATTCAGTCAGTCCTGGATTGGCTGAGAACATCAGCATGTAGCTAGTGCACAGCTCCTGGATCTGCTGTCGCTGCATACACCCAAGGGTCATGGAGAGGTTTACCTCTTCCACACCACCATCACTTTTCCCTTCATAGTAGACACCTTCAGGCCACTCAGCATCATCTCCTCCCTGGGCTGTAAACTGTCAAATCTTTAATTCTCTGGAATAAAAGGGCTTTAGAGAATTAATATGGTACACCTTAGGCTTTTGGTTTGAGGTGGGGAATGCTATGAGATAATTAACAGCTCCCAGGTGCTCTTGGACCGTGAATGGCCCTTTCCATGATGCTTCCATTTTTTGGGTCTGGAGCACCTTTAAGACCATGACCTGGTCCCCTACTTTGAAGGAACACTCTCTGGCATGTTTATCATACCAGGCTTTTTGCTCTTTTTGAGCATCCTTTAGGTTTTCTTTAGCAAGGGCTAAAGAGGTTCGGAGGTGTTCTGTAGGTTGGTTACAAAGTCCAGAATGTTAGTTCCTGGAGAAGATGTAAATCTCTCCCATTGCTGCTTCACCAACTGTAATGGCCCCTTAACCTCGCGGCCATATACAAGTTCAAATGGTGAAAACCCTAAACTGGGATGGAGTACAGCTCTGTAGGCAAAGAGTAACTGCTGCAACACTAGGTCCCAATCATTGGCGCGCTCATTTACGAATTTATGTATCATGGCCCTCAAAGTTCCATGAAACTTCTCCACCAGGCCATTTGTTTGATGATGGTAAGGGGTGGCAACCAAGGGATTCACCCCATGAGCTTCCCAAAGGCTTTCCATAGTTCCTCCCAGCAAATTAGTTCCTGAATCTGTAAGGATGTCAGAGGGCCAACCTACATTGGCAAAAATATCCGTTAGTGCCTGACACACACTTTTAGCCTTGGTATTGCTTAGAGCTACTGCTTCTGGCCATCAGGTGGCAAAATCCATGAAAGTCAGTATGTACTGCTTTCCTCTGGGTGTCTTTTTCAGAAAAGGACCCAGAATACCCACAGCTACTCGCTGAAATGGAATCTCAATGATGGGGAGTGACTGGAGAGGGGCTTTGACCTGGTCTTGGGGTTTTCCCACTCTTTAGCACACCTCACAAGACCGGACATAGGTAGAAACATCCTTGCCCATTCCCTCCCAGTGGAACAATTTTCCCAAATGGTCTTTGGTTCTGTTCACCCCAGCATGGCCACTAGGATGATCGTGGGCTAAGCTTAAAAGCTTTACTCGGTACTTAGTTGGAACTACCAACTGTCTCTGAGGGTGCCTGTCTTCCTGGCGTCCACCAGAAAGAGTTTCCTTGTATAAAAATCCTCTTTCTACAAAAAACCTGGATTGATTAGAAGAGCTGAGAGGTGGTGGGTTGCTCTGTGCTGCCATTCAAGTTCCCTGGAGGCTTTCATCTGCTTTCTGCTCAGCCTGGAACTGTTCCCTTGATGCTGGAGACATCAGTTCCTCATTGGATTGTGGACCTGGGCTTGGTCCCTGGAAGTGATGGTTGTTTCCGTTGACTGTGAATGGCTCTCCGCTGGTGCACTATGTTGGGGTTCAGGCTCTGGCTGAACCTCTTGTGTAGGGTTATCTGCTGCTGCCGGTGCAGGTTCAGTGGGGCCCTCTGGTGTTGGGGTTGAAAGTACTGGATTCAGTGCTGGCAATGGTTCTGGTGCTGGTTGTTCCGCCGGTTCTGGTTTTGAGACTAGCTCTGTCTGGGTCTCTGTGACTGGATCCACTACTGCTGTTGCAGATGTTGGCATGGGGTCCAGTTCCATAACCTCTGACCGGGTCCTGGTAGAAGTTTCCGGAACAGAGCTAGGTGTGACAGCTTGTTTAGCCTGGCTGCGCGTGACCATTCCCACCCTCTTAGCTAGCTTCACATGATTGGCCAAGTCTTCTCCCAACAGCATGGGGATGGGATAATCATCATAGACTGCAAATGTCCACGTTCCTGACCAGCCCTTGTACCGGACCGGCAACTTGGCTGTAGGCAAGTCAAAAGAGTTTGACTTGAAGGGTTGAATCATCACTTGGACCTCTGGGTTGATTAAATTGGGGTCCACTAAGGAAGCATGGATAGCTGACACTTGTGCTCCGGTGTCCCTCCACGCGGTGACCTTCTTCCCACCCACACTCACAGTTTCCCTCCACTCTGAGGAGGTATCTGGGAGGTATCTGGGCCTGAGGACCTCTGGTGTGATTCTGTTGGGTTTCTTGGGGCAGTTGGCCTTTACATGCCCCGGCTCATGACATTTAAAACATTGTCCAGCTGATGGGTCACTGGGGCGAGGTGGGTTGCTGGAGAACGGTGTGGCGGGACGATAAGGTGTCTGGAGTGTTCCTTGGTGTGTAGTTGGGGCCTTGGGCTGCTCCCGGTAGTACGGTGTGGTCTGAGGGTGTCCCTTCTGATATCTGCTCCAACTGTGACCAGGGTTGTTCCTCTCTCCCCCCTCCACCCTTTTTGTTCCAGTTTTCCCCGCCTCTCTGGAGGTCTGGGGCTGCTCGTATTGATCAGCATAAGAAGCAACATTTTCTCCTGAGTCCATTTTCTTATCACATAAACACTGTTTTATATCCTCCTTGGACATATTCAGGAATTGCTCCTGAGTCGTCAAATCACACATTCCTTCAAGACTAGTTACACCCCTTCCTTTGCCCCATTTATCTAACAGATCCTTCATCTGGTTTAGATAAGCCACATTACTTAGTCCAGGTCCTCTCCTAAGGGCTCTAAATTTTACTCTGTAAGTTTCAGGTGTAACTTTAAATTGCTTTAAAACTTTAAATTTACCCTGTCAGAAGCCTCCTCAATAGGCATCTTATTGAATATGTCCAGAGCTCTTCCAGTCAATTTTGCAACCAATGTGGTCATCTTGTGAGCTTCAGGAATTTGATGGAGTGTGCACAGTCTCTCAAAGGTGAGAAAATATTCAGCAATATCACTGGATTCATCATACTATGGACATAGTTGCTCCCATTTGTGGATTGTTGGGGAAGGATTGTTTGGGTTATTCGGTATATTCTGCTGAGCCTTTGCCTTCTCCATCTCCAGTGCATGCTTCCTCTCTTTTTTCTTCTCCTCCATAGCTCTCCTGTAGGCATCCTCCCTTTCTTTTTCTTTGGCTGCCATTTCTTTTTTTTTTTTTTTTGCCTCCATTTCCATCTTTCTGAGTTCTACCTGTCTTTCATGTTCCTTTTGTTTTTCCTCAGCCTCAAATCTGGCTAATTCCAACTTCTGTTGAACAGTGCAGTCTGTCATCCTAACCTCTCTGTTTTTAACTAACTTTACACCCGAGAGTTAGAAAGAAAACAAAACAAAACAAAAACTGGCTTGTAAAATTTTGCTGTGCTATAACCATTTTTTTTTCTTTTCTTTTCTGATAGTTGTTCTCAGCCTACAGAAAAGTCCTTTTGTTATGCCTGCTGCTCTGTCCCCCAGGTTGAGAGACAGAATCGACAGCTGCAATCACTTTTACAAAACCTTTAAAAATCCTGCTGTGCTTCTGGTTCAAAATGATCTCAAAATGATCCCACCACTCTGCCACCATGTCAAGGTTCCTTCTGAACTCTAGGGTACAGATGTGGGGACCTGCATGAAAGACCCCTAAGCTTATTCTTACCAGCTTAGGTTAAAAACTTCCCCAAGGTACAAACTTTGCCTTGTCCTTGAACTGTATGCTGCCACCACCAAGCATTTTAAATAAAGAACAGAGAAAGAGCCCACTTAAAGACGTCTTCCCCCAAAATATCCCCCCAAACCCTATACCCCCTTTCCTGGGGAAGGCTTGATAAGAATCCTCACCAATTTGTACAGGTGAACACAGACCCAAGCCCTTGGATCTTAAGAACAATGAAAAATCAATCAGGTTCTTAAAAGAAGAATTTTAATTAAAGAAAAGGTAAAAGAATCACCTCTGTAAAATCAGGATGGTAAATACCTTACAGGGTAATCAGATTCAAAACACAGAGAATCCCTCTAGGCAAAACCTTAAGTTACAAAAAGACACAAAAACAGGAATATACATTCCATCCAGCACAGCTTATTTTACCAGCCATTAAACAAAAGGAAATCTAACGCATTTCTAGCTAGATTACTTACTAATTTAACAGGAGTTGTAAGGCTGCATTCCTGATCTGTTCCCAGCAAAAGCATCGCACAGACAGACCAACCCTTTGTTCCCCCCGGGCAGATTTGAAAGTATCTTGTCCTCTCATTGGTCATTTTGGGTCAGGTGTCAGCTAGGTTACCTTAGCTTCTTAACTCTTTACAGGTGAAAGGGTTTTGCCTCTGGCCAGGAGGGATTTTACAGCACTGTAAAATACAGAAAGGTGGTTCCCTTCCCTTTATATTTATGACATATACCTAAAATAAAACAAAAAATTATGAGAACCAAAAAAAATGCCACTATGGCTACACAACAGAGTAAAAGAGCGATACAGAAAACCAGCTTTTAAAATTGGAAGTCAAATCCTACTGAGGAAAAGAGAAAGCAGCATAAATTCTGGCAAGTCAAATTTAAAACTATAATTAGTCAGGCCAAAAAATATTCAAAGAGCAACTAGCAAAAGAAACAAAAACTAACAGCATTTTTGTTTAGTACATCAGAAGCAGGAAGCCTGCCAGACAATCAGTAGGGCCACTGGACAACTGAGATGCTAAAGGATCACTCAAGGAAGACAAGCCTGTTGCCAAGAAGCTAAATGAATTCTTTGCATTGGTCCTCACTGCAGAGGATGTGAGGGAGATTCCCATATCGGAGCTATTCTTTTTATGTGACAAATCAGAGGAACTGTCCCAGATTGAGGTGTCATTACAGGAGGTTTGGGAACAAACTAATAAATTAAACAGTACTAAGTCACCAGGACCAGATGGGATTCACACAAGTTCTGAAGGAACTCAAATGTGAAATTGCAGAACTACTAACTGTGGTCTGTAACCTACTGTTTAAATCAGCCTCCATACCAGATTACTGGCAGAAGCTAATGTGATCCCATTTTTAAAAAACTGCTTCAGAGGCAATCCTCGCAACTACAGGCTGATAAGCCTAACTTCAGTATCAGGCAAATAGATTGAAATTATAGTAAACAACAGAATTATCAGACACACAGATTAACATAATTTGTTGGGGAAGAGTCAACATGGCCTTTGTAAAGGAAAATCATGCCTCATCAATCTATTCAAATTCCTTGAGGGGATCAGCAAACGTGGACAAGTGGATCTAGTGAACTTGAATTTTCAGAAAGCCTTTGACAAAGTCCCTCACCAAAGGTTCTTAAGCAAAGTAAGCAGTCATGGGATAAGAGGGGAGGACCTCTCATTGATCAGTAACTGGTTAAAAGATAAGAAACAAAGGGTAGGAATAAATGGTCAGTTTTCAGAATGGAAAGAGGTAAATAACAGGGTTCCCCAAGTATCTGTACTGGAACCAGTGCTGTTCAACATATCCATAAATGATGTGGGAAAAGGAGTAAACATTGATATGGCAAAGTTTGCAGAGGATACTAAATTAATCAAGATAGTTAAATCCAAAGCAGACTGTGAAGAGTTAAAAAGGAATCTTACAGAACTGGGTGACTGGACAAGCATATGGCAGATGAAATTTAGTGTTGATAAATGTGAAGTAATGCACATTGGAAAACATAATCCCAACTATACATACAAAATGATGGACTCTAAATTAGTTGTTACCACTCAAGAAGGAGACCTTGGTGTCATCATGGATAGTTCTCTGAAAAAATCCATTCAGTGTGCAGAAACAGTCAAAAAAGCAAACAAAATGTTAGGAACCATTGGGAAAGGGATAGAAAATAAGACAGAAAATATCTAAATGCCACTATATAAATCCACAATATGCCCACACCTTGAACACGGTGTGCAGTTCTGGTGGCCCCATCTCAAAAAAGATTTATTAGAATTTGGAAAAGCTATAGAGAAGAGAAACAAAAATGTTTAGGGGTATAGAACAGCTTCCATATGAGGAGAGATTAAAAAGACTTGGAGTTTTCAGTTTGGAAAAGAGGCAACTAAGGATATGATAGAGGTCTATGAAATCATGCATGATATGGAGAAAGTGAATAAAGAAGTGTTATTTACCCCTTCACATAACAAAAGATCCAGGGCTCACCCAGTGAAATTTAATAGGCAGCAGGTTTAAAACAAACATAAGGAAGTACTTCTTCCCACAATCTGTGGGACTCATTGCTGGGGGGTGTTGGGAAGTCTAAAACTATAATGGGGTTCAAAAAAGAATTAGATAAGTTCGTGGAGGATACGTCTATCACTGGCTGTTAGCCAAGATAATCAGGGATGCAACCCCATGCTCTGGGTGTCTCTAAATCAGCAATAGTCAATAGATGGACCGTGGGCCAAATCCGAACCACGAGATGCTTTTGAATGGACCCCAAAATCTTTTTATTTAATGACAATACTTATTGTCATTGTTATTTTTTAAAATTATTTTCTCTGGAGCCTGAACCTTGATTATACTTTGACCAAGAAATTTGGACCTTGACAAAAAATAATTGACTATCCCTGCACTAAGCCTCTGACTGCTAGAAGCTGGGACTGGAGGATGAAGTGGATCACTCGATAATTGCCCTGTTAAATCCCTCTGAAGCACCTGGCATTGGCCACTGTCAGAGACAGGCTACTGGGCTAGATGGACCAGTATGTCTGTTCTTAAGTTCTTGAGTCTGTAAGTACGCATCAACTGACTCAGGCTTGCACTGTGGGGTTAAAAAGAGCAGCATATAGACATTCCTGCTTGGGCTCTGAGAGCCAGTGAGGGAGGAAGAT